AGACTTCATCAATGGAGATTACCCCAAGCCTTCTGAATCTAGCATGGAATTTGCTAGATGGATACATGTTAATAATACAGTAGTCGCGTGGATTCTTAATTCTCTGTCTGAGGATTTGCAAGAAGGCTACATTCTGGTTGATAATGCTCAAGATTAGTGGAGTGATTTGGAGCAGAGATTTGGAAGAATCAATGTTTCACGAATTTATCAGCTTAAGAGAGATGTAAGCTCAATCTCACAAGGAAATATGCCTCTAGCCTCCTATTTTACGAAATTGAAGAGATACTGGGGAGAATTGGCACACCTTGATCCTCAAGTTACTTGTCACTGTGCGGGTGTACTTGCAGAATTGATAGATGATAGGCAGCATGATTGGAAAGAGACAAGATGATGCAGTTCTTGGTGGGATTGAATGTTGTGTATGAGGCAGTGAAGAACCAAATCTTGGCAATGTGGCATGGTGATAGATATAGAGAAGCAGAGAAATATACAGATGATATCTACCAATATTTATGATCAAAGTGCTATGTTAGCAGGAAATTCTGTTGCATCAATGATGATGAAGCCTCCAGTAACAATGCCATCTCCTATGATGATTCAACCTTCCTTGACAACTGGACAGAACACTCAGAATGCTGCCATGTTTGTTCAAAAAGATAACTACAAACGCAGAGATGAGAAGAAGAACCAATGGTGTGACCTGTGCAAGAAGTCTAATCATTCTAAGGAAACTTGCTTCCTTATTCATGGATATCCAGATTGGTAGAGAGTTTCTGAGAATGCTAAATGCGTTAAGAAACCTGGTGGAAATAAGATTATGGCACGTATGGTTGATACTCCAATGGATATGGTGCCCTTTACTGGAAACAATACAGGATTCAATCAAGCATCTACTAATAATGTGATCACTTCTGGACATGAGAATTTACAGGCAATCATGAATGGACTTACTTATCTTCAACGGGAAAATTAGCAGGATAACAGGAGAAAAGGGGAAGTAGAACACTCAAGGAGGAGAGCTTATCAATTTTGCTCATTAAAATGATTTTGCAGGTATGAACTTTGAACATATCCTGGCTACTGTTGATAAGGTTAATCCTAGTGTATGGTTTATGGATTCTGGTGCTACTAGATTTATGGCTCATGATCTAGAACTCTTTGATTCCTATAGTGCTTTTTCTCAACCCACTCCTGTTTATTTACCTGATGGAAGTGTGAAATATGTTAAGCATACAAGAAACATCACACTTTCTAAATCATTAAAACTCACTGATTGCCTTCATATTCCTGATTTTAAATTCAACCTTATTTCTGTTAGCAAGTTAGCCAAAACAGCAAAGATTGACACACTTTTTCCACTGATTTTTGCATATTGCAGGACCAGGGGAGTAAAGCAGTGATAGCTATTGGCAAGCTTGTTAACAGGCTCTAGGCAATAGATGAGGAATCCTTTAGTCAACAATATATCATGTCATTCATTAAGTTCCATGTAAACCCAAGATATTTCTCTGTTCCTTACACTTGTGTTGATCATCAAGCACAACCTGTTATTCATGATGATAGTAGGTTATGGCATAACAGACTAGGAGATCCCTCCAACAGTGTACTTACTCAAATTCCTGATTTACAATATTCAATAAAGGATGAGTACGTATGCACTGTTTGTCCTTTGTCCAAACAACATAGACTATCTTTTCCTGTCAGTAATTCAAAAAGCCTACAGAATTTTGATCTTATTCATGTAGATATCTGGGGGCCATATAAACAGTCTACCTTATCAGGCTGTCATTATTTTCTTACCATAGTAGATGATCATAGCAGATCTACTTGGACTTTTTTCATGCACTGTAAATCTCAAACAATTCACTTTCTTGATCTTTTCTTCAAGATGGTTCAAACACAGTTTCAATCTACCATAAAGAGGGTAAGATCAGATAATGGCTCTGAATTCATGAGTCTAACCTGTCTTTGAGACCATCAAGCAAGAAAGATTTGGGGATTTAGGGTTAGGAAAAACGCCATTAATGAGAGGATCTTGGTCTGATTATTAAACTGTATTTACTTCATAATAATTAATCTGTACAAACTCGGTATTAATACTAATCCTTAACCGACCTAATGTAAAGTTATATGTATGCCCTCTATTATTTACAAGACTGCCTACCTAGTATCAGATATATACAAATCTAGTCCCTGTATATACAAGTGTAGTCCTCAGAGTATTATATACACTAATTACAATAAAATGCATATACTTCAACAATTAACAATTCCATGCACAAGGGATTAGGAGGAGAGAGGAAAAAGAGCTTGACTTCACGAAGGAAAATTTGGGAAATTGGGTTAAATTTGCATTGCTAAAAATTGTTTTGTCGCTACCCTTTCTAGAACTTTGCCGATCTAAAAATCAGCCGCATCAAACGTTTGAGCTTTCGAATGATCTTCAGTTACATATAAATACATCCATCCTCAATCTACATCAATAAGCTGAATTTCATAAGAAATACACAAAAAAAAAACTAAAAACTAAAAAAGAAATTAAAATAAACAAAAACAAAAATCAAGATGTCTAGCAGCATGACTGTCCTGTTTGGTCTCTTGACCATCATTTCAGGTATAAATAGAGTAAAATTTTACGTTACATCCTTCTGTTAATTTTCCCTCCTCTCTTTTCAGCATGTTCGATATATTACACCATTGTTAAAGTTGAAGGTTTCTTTGCATGTTCATTATGTGTGTTTTTTACTCCGTCCGTCCCATAATTATTATCCAGTTTGGATTTTCATATTTAGTTCAGATTATACTAAAAGTGAAATATCAAAATGGACAATAATTTTGAGACAGAGAAAATACTAATCTTTTTATTTGCCCAGAACAAGAGTTATGTTAGCATTTTCCTTTAAAAAAATAAATCCCAAAATGAAGTACCATGTATTCACGTGCATCGTGCTACTATTTTGGCATTAAGTTGCGCATTAGGGGGGGGGGGGGGGGGCGGGGGGGGATTTTTAGCTTATTATGAACTTCTTTTAATTTATTTTTTTTCGGTGCAGTAAATATGATGATGAATCAGATGGAGGTGGTGGAAGGTGCAGAATGCTTCCAAGTGCTTAAAGATATTAAGTGCCCCAACGGCGTTGTAAGAGTGGAATGCGAGAATGCATGCAAGCTCAAGTGCGGGGAGAAATCTGTCGCCGGCACCACCCTGTGGAATAGCGCCGAACGGGTTTGCGCCTGCCGCTTCGTTGCACCTGACTGCTCGAAAAGCGTCTGCAAACTGTGAATTTGAGAGGTTGTTCATTGTTTGTACTTCTATATGTCCGTTCAAAAAAAAAAACAAACAAACAAACAAACAAATAATGCACTTTGAGTTTGTGGTATAGATCTCAAAACATAACGTGAACTATTAATTTTTTTAGAACGGAGGGACCGGAGATAATTAATATAGGGTAGTGTTTTTGTGACTGACGTCCGGCAATACCTAGATAGGAAGTGTCCAGCATTGTCCATACTTCTTCTTTCTTACTTACTTTTTTTTTTCTTTTTCCTTTTTACTTATTTTTGTTCTCCCTCTGACTTCGCTTGTAAAACTTCCCCTGAAATTTCAATATATCATCATCATTTTGATTTCTTTTGAAGATAACTTTTTTCTCTCTTAAATTGATTTCCTTAATAATTAATAATTATCATTTCGTTCCAAATAAATTGTCTATGTTTCGTACTGAAAATATATTACTCAGCAAGTAATAATAATATTATATTTGTATATCCACGATCCTCTTAGCGGAAACAAATCACTTTCTTTTGAAATATATATAATTCTGCCTCCTTCTTGTTCGTACTTAATTTTTCAGGATCCCATGGCCACATTATCATTACTAGAGCTTACCACCGTAAATTGTTGATTCCAAAAAGAATATTATTATTATTGCATTCAAATGACAATCATATAAGAACATGAGCAATCCATAGTAGTACTATTATTTCGCGGACGTCTATGATCAAGTGATAATTAATGTGAATTTAAATTTCGATTGACAATGAGATGTAAACCTAAACTACAAAGAAATTAGGAGCTTCAAACAAAAGAAAAAAAAAAAAAAAACCTTCAAAGAAACTAAACATGAAGGACAAAGTATCAACAGAAAATGAAGGGGTTTTCTTTTATTTCTTTTTTTTTTCTTTTTCTTTTTTTTTTTTACTACAAAAAGGACAAAGAAGTTGTTTAAAAAGGATACGATCGTGTTTCAAATCTGAAATACGCTCCATTATTAGTTCCTTAAAACATAACATGTCAAACTTGTTTCAACAACTAATTCTCCCCATATTAATTTGGAATATGAAAGCAGGGATCGATGTCTCGTCCACCGACTATAAGTGAAAAGGACATTGAAAGATCGTGGTTACTGATTAACACTCATTATGAATTATGCGATTATTATATGCGTTTTTATTTTTTGAAAAAAATGAGTCAATTAATGATTAACACAACAATTATTATATCTAGCTCACCACGATGTTTCATTATTTTTATCATTGGAGTCTGTATTAAGTGCACCCCCAGTCAGAATCGACTGATTCGGCAAAAGAAAAACGAATCCGACACCGGAATCGACTCCCGCGACCACCTCTTCTATCTCGTTCAGCACCGCCGCCACCGGAATCGACTCTTGCGGTCACCTCTTCCTCTTCGTCTTTCTCGTTCAGCACCGTCACCACCAGAATCGACTCCCGCGACCGCCGGAATCGCAGGTCACCAACCCGCCCCAGCTTCGCCGCCCCGCCGAACATACCGGTTTTCATAAGGTGAGTCCTTTTTTCGTGTGTGTATGAGGAGAGAGTGTGTGTGTGTGTGTGTGTGTGAGGAGTGTGTGTGAGAGGCGGCTGGGATTTTGGCCGGAATTTGCAAGGGGTACACCGTGCCCCCGAGTGCATCAGATAATTTGCCTATCATTGTTCATTTGTAACAAATGTAATTGTTGAACAAAATAAATAAATAAATTCAGAAGTACTTCAATCATAAACTAAATAAATACAGAGCGGGATAAGAAATTCCTAGCGAGTCATGTAAAAATAAAACCAATAATTGTATTTCTTTGTAAAACCAATAATTGTAGCAAAATGGTACTTAAATGTATTTCTTTCTATTGTATAATTGTATATTCAGTTGAGACCAATTCTATATCAACGCATTTGTTATTTGTTTATTTATTCCATCGGTCCCAAAATTATTGTCCAGTTTGAATTTTCATTTTTAATACAGATTGAACTAAAAATGAAAAATCAAATTGAATAATAATTTCGGGACAATCACATAATTTTTTTTGTTCTTTGGTCTGCTAGAGTTTGGAAGAAGCCAGAGATTTAGCCATTTCCCGAAGAACAAATTTCTTAATTTTCCCAGTAGAAGTCTTTGGGAGCTCTTCCTTGAACACCACGGTTTTAGGCACCATATATTTAGGCAATTTCTTCCTGCAAAACTCAATCAAATCTTTCTCATCAATTTCCTTCTTCTTCTTCTTCAAAGTCACAAATGCACAAGGAGTTTCCCCCCAGAGCTCATCCGGCCGCGCCACCACCGCCGCCTCCTCCACCGCCGGGTGCATATAAATCACCGATTCCACCTCCACACTACTCAGATTCTCCCCACCGCTAATAATCACATCCTTCGATCTGTCCTTGATTTCCAAGTACCCGTCCGGGTGAATCACGGCAACATCGCCGGTGTAAAACCATCCATTTCTCGGTTTTCCTTCCCCCATACATTTTGCCGTCCCTGCCGGATCTTTGAAATACCCGAGCATCACACAGTTTCCTCGGATTACAATTTCTCCGTAAGTTTTGCCGTCCCTTTTTACAGTAATTCCGGTCTCCGGCTCCACCACGTCGACTTCCGACATCCCAATTGTCCGGACCCCCTGTCTCGCCTTCAGCCGTGCCCGCTCCGGCGCCGGAAACTTGTTCCAGTTATTTTTCCAAGTACAACAAACCACGTGTCCTCCGGTTTCGGTCAACCCGTATCCGTGAGTCACCACGAATCCTAGCGCCTCCGTCTTTAACAGGATCGCCGCCGGAGGAGGAGCTCCGGCGGTGGAGATATGAACCGGATACGGAATCGGGTCACGATTCAGGGATGAAATCATGTTCAGGACAACCGGAGCGGCGCACATATGAGTCACCTTGTGGTGGCGGATGGCGGAATAGACGCCGGCGGCGTCGAATTTCCGGAGGCAAATGTTTGTTCCGCCCACCGCCGCCATTCCCCACGGGAAGCTCCATCCATTGGCATGGTACATCGGAAGCGTCCATAAGAAAACGGGTTGTTTCGGAACCGACCATTCGATTAATGAAACTACAGAAACTGTGAAAATCCCTCTGTGACAATGGACTACTCCTTTCGGAGATGAAGTTGTTCCTGATGTGTAATTCAATGTAATCGGATCAAAATCGGATTTCGGTTGAACCCATTTGAAACCCGGATCCCCTGTTTCCACCAAACTCTCATACGAGCAGAAAAAATTTGAAGAATTTGATGGTTCATCGTCATCTGTGATTAGCACTAACATTGGTCGGGAAGAATTTGGCGGGAAAAAAGTCAACGCCTGAAGGACTAAAGAAGCTGATTGATAATCAACTAGGACGAGCTTTGACTCGCTGTGATGAAGGAGAATGGAGATTGTGCGGGAATCAAGGCGGAGGTTGATTGTATTGAGAATCGCTCCGGCCATCGGGACGGCGAAATGGGCTTCGTACATGGCCGGAATATTTGGAGCCACCACGGAAACAACTTCCCCTGTTTTGATTCCTAAAGAAAAGACAAGTGAAGAAGCAAGCCGGAGGCATCTTTCGTGGGTTTCTGACCATGTATAGGTTTTGGTGTTGTAGATAATGGAAGGGCAGTCGCCATAGATTGTGGCTGCTCTTTGTAAAAAGCCAAGAGGGGTTAGAGGGATCGAATTTGCAGGCCCTGGTTTCAGCTGCTCCATTGTTGTATTATAAATGTTAGGAATTTTTTTGGCCGGAAAAAAAGTGATGAATTTGGCAGCTATTCATGTAGTGTGAAGATCGTGGTCAAGAGTGTGTGTGTGTGTGTGTTGAATCATATTTCTGCTGGCATTTAATAGTAGCTTACAAGTTAGGTGGTGGATTTTCATTTTTAGGTATATGATCTGTGGCATAAATAATTTTAATTTTAAACGTAACACATATCACACTCAAATTAATTTTCGTTTTAGACAGTTAGGCTTCTTTGTGAAGATAAAAATCTATCCCGATAAATGTTGTAATCAGTCTTACATGCACATGCATTTGAAGTTGGATCGTAATGGAGGTGATCCAATATTTTTTAGGACTTAAATTAATTGCTTTGGTTGAAAATTGATTTTTTATATGGACTGGTTCTTATGGGATGGGAAAAAGAAAATGAAATGATATACTGTAGTAACATTAAAGTAGACGGTTAAAGATATCCTCAGAAGTTTTAGCCATTAATGTTAGTCCACGAAATGGATAAATACATCTGGTAATTTGTTTGGTAATCTTACAAGATTATTTATTTTTATTGGATTTATTAGTTTGATATATAAATTTAAAACTTATAAGCCGTAAATAAATTTAACGTAATACTATGTCAACAAGGTTGGTGAGTCGATCTAAGTCCCCGGCCGACCGGAGGTCCTAATCAAATTTGGTAGTGAAACGGTCAACTCATAGAATAACTTCGACGAAGCAAGCTTTCATGAAAATGAAAAACTTTCTTCAGTTTTTAATATTCCAATTAACTCTTCATAGTAATTTAGTAATAATATGCTCCTTTCTTCTTCGGCTGGTTGTTACTTATATATACTGTATATATTTTTTTCAGCTCCTTGAACAACTTGTTAGATATTTTAAGCATTACATCAATATCAATAAAACAAATAAAAATATGACACTCAGTTTACGTAGTAGTTGTTGTTGAATCAATTAGAAATTAATTGTTAGTTAATAAGTCCACATTGTTAAGGATTGGCAACGAGAATGGTAAGAGTAGAAATTGAAATTATGAAAATGAGTTCATACATATGCTGAACAAACTCGAAAAAAAGTCCATATTAAGTAATTGTCATTACATACAACTAATTAGCGTTATCGATGGGTACAAAGTTGTTTTCATGAAAAATATGCGTGGTCAATGCTTTAGCTCATATATTTCCAACTTTCCCCTTATAAAAACATCTTAGATGCATTTTACCAGAATAATTAAAATAATGAATACACCTACCCTCGCAGAGAAAATCATGTGATCATTATCAGCAATCTAATTAAGATAATGACTCCTCAAGAAAACAAGAAAATACATAAAGGAGAAAAAAAAAAACTTGAGAAACAAATTATTGCAACTCGCAAACGGTGGTTAGTATATACTAGTATATCACTTATATCATTTGTGGAACAAAATTTGTTAAGATTCCTTTATTTAATTATTTATTAATGTAAACGAATAAAAGACATTTGAAAATCCAAAAAAAAAATGATGATCAAATGAATCAAAGTAGATCTCCATGGTAATTAAGCATAAGTATTAGGGTTTTGGACGGGGTAATTTTCCACAACCTTGTAAATTTCAAGCACTTTTCCGTTGCCTGGTTAAATGTCGTCTTCCTTAAGCGCAAAACATCCTTCGGGCATAATACTAGCGAGTGACCTTAGAGATATACCACCATTTGGAATTTAGCTCCAACTTAACTACTAGTTCGTATGTGATTTTCTCTAGCTAGGTTATCATTCAACACGCACCTCCTTCCACCAATGAGTAGTTGTATGTGAACGTTTATTTCTTCGTCTGATATGGTACTTCAAATGAGTAAAGTCTCTTCCTAAAAAGCATGCTTGGACAATTTCGAGACTAAATGCGATTAAGATTGTTATGATGAGATATGTTTAAGATATGGCACAACGAATAATAATGTTACAGAAGCGTAGCATTGCGGACGACAATGAATAATAATTTTACCACCAGCGAAATTAATTTGTTCGATATATACTTCCAGTTCCGCACAATCGCCTTGAATGATAACGATGGAATGAGTTTAGGGATCAAATTCTGAGAGTAGTCCACAATTGAGGCTTTGAAACTGCCTTGAAGTGGCTACTAAAGATGCATGATTTCATGTGTACTCTTCGTAGATCGTTGTGAAACCCCATGGCTAATTGAATGTATAGTATTTTGTTGAAATTGGACTAGTGCAGATAAATAAATTTATTGATTTGATTGATGTTGTGAGGAAGTAAAGTGTGAGAGTGAAAGCAATTTATACAGGCAGAAAAAATTTCTTGCAATCTCAACATAAAAGACAATTTCGAAAGACCATTTAATTATATTCAGTATTGTTTCCATGACTTGCTTGTAAGCATAAATTCTTTGAAGGCCTTCCAACATTTCAGGATAATTCTTTGGAATTGTGGAAATTTCTTCTGGAAAAGACAATTTTCTTTTTAAGATATCTCTTTTCTTAGTTTACTTGTCTTTTCTTTTATGCACATTTTATTGTGTTTTTTTCCTATCGAAATCGTCCTTGGATCCTCTCATTCTACGTGTCCTCTTCCTTAGTATTTCGGATATGGATTTTAATAGATATGGGACGTAAAACAATTTCTAGGATATAACAATTTCACATACTTCTCCAAATGATCATAGTACTACTATGTTGTTACCTTTCTAAAAACAAGAAAACAAAGAAAAGAAGACGGCTGCCTTTTTTCATTGTCCATCAAACTAAAATAAAACCTTTTGCAATGCGACAATCTCCACATTGTCTAGAGGCGTGTCCCAAAAGGCATCAAACCTTTGAAAGACATTTGCCAAACTTAATTGGCTCATCATAAGTTGATTTTCGTCTAAGAAAATCTAATTTCAAGCATAATTGATTCATATTTGTTAAACTGAACCAATACAATAAATATAGTTTCTTAAAACTCTCCCCTAATCGTCTCTATCCAACTTCCTTTCATCCCATCCTAAGTTTATAACTTGTTTGATCAAAACTTATACGTAGACATGGATAGTTTTGTTAATGGGCCGAACTTAATTAAACAAAAATTGTAATAGTGATAACTTCTATCATGGTGTGTATTTGTTTAAAGTAATGTAATATCAACAAGTTGAGAGTATCTCTCAAAAGACAGGTTTAACCGGTATTGAAAAAGCAAAGATTGTATCTGTATTTTACTTGATAAATTGTACAAGTACTTGCAATAAGAGCGAGAATTGTTTTACTTGCAATGGATATCATAGGAGAGGAAGTCTAAATTTGTTCATCCATATAATATTTTTGGATTCAGTCTCTGTATATCAGATTTGGATCGACTCATTTCTATTTTGAACTTTTTTGCTCCCAAAAATTTTAAGCATTGCCATAAAAGTGCATGTAATAGGTACTAATATGACTCATAGCACACAACTTCATTAAATCAAGAAAATAGAGAGGATTACAATTTATGAAGACCCTCATTGTCAAAACAAAAGACACTGAAAAAGTTGCAATTGAAAGACCGCAATCTCAAACCTCGATATGAAAACAACATATTAGGAAACAAATAACTTCAAAGACACGAATTAAGCATAAGCATCAGGGTTCTGGATGAGATAGTTCTCCACAACCTTGTAAATTTCAAGCACTTTTCCTTTGCCTGCCTTAATGTCATCTTCTTTCAGAGCAAAGTCCCCTTTTGTGTAGTATTTGCTAGTAACCTTAGATACAGTACCACCATCTGAGGTTGACTCAAACTTGACCTCGTAAGTAATTTTTTCTAAGTTTTCGTTCAATGCGCCTCCTTCCACCAATGAATAGTTGTATGTGAACGTCTCTTCGTTCAATTCATCAACATGGTACTTCAGGAAACTAAAATCTCGACCTGTAAAACATGTATAAATCCATGATAATCTACTACAAAAAAAGGGTTTTATACATGATCATCAAGACTATAATATTGGTGGGACGATTCTAATATTTGACGTTACTAATAATAATTAATGATAGCATAACGTTTTGAAAAAGTTAACTTACCACCAACAAAGTTAATTTGTTTGATGCTTCCAGTTCCACCATTGCCCTGAGTGATGTCAATGCTCTTGATGCCTTGTGGGATGAGTTTTGGGATCAAATTGTGAGAATCAACCACTGAGGCTTTGAAGAGCCTTGAAGTTGCGACTGGAGATGTGTATTCATCGTACAAAGTTGTGACACCCATGACTAATGAAAGTAATGTGTTCTCTTTTTTAATTGAAGTGGAAATCAAATTGATTAGCTGATGTTGTAGATGTGATGAAGCATAGGTGGGAAATGAGGCTATTTATGGATGCAACAATACCAATTGGTTGGTGCAAAATCACAACTTAAATTTTTTTTTTTTTTTAAATTAAGACAATCAAACGGCAATCTCCTCCAAATTTATTCCACTTTTTGATCTTTTTATAGCAAAAATTCTTTCCAGGCCTTCTAAACTGGTTGTTACTTCTTGTCTTTCTTTAGGAGATAAAGAACTAGTAAACCAATCACCAGATTACAGCAATTCTAGAAATACCTGCAAGTGATTATGCCATTTTCTAACCCCTAGCGACGATCTATCTTAATTTAAGCTAAAAAAATAAATCAAATTAATCTTTGAAAACTGTTTCCTAAAACAAAAAACATTAAGTGAATTTAATCATTTAAGAAACATAATGAGAAGAGAGAAAAAAAAGTTAAGAAAGTCGAAAAAATATCGTTAACTAGTGTGTTTTTTTTTCTTTTTCTTTTTATAATTATTAGGACATATGCCATCCATCGTAGATTCATAGTATGTCTTCGAAACTTGGGTGCGACATAGAAGTATCGAGGTCCTGGTTTAAATCTCGTTTCCGAACATTGTTTATGACAATTAGTTACGAATATAGCAATGTCTCTTTCAATTTGGGAAATGAGTGACAAGGAAAAATTTAAAATAATTTGGTTTGGAGCAGTCCCCGAAACCTCGGATAACTATGAAATATGAACTCGTGCAATAATATCCAGACCGCCTTGGTGAATCCGAAATTTGGATCGAGAACATCACTCATTCGAATTTGACAAACATTGGGGAACAATATTGCCGTCTCCGAAGAATATATAAACCAAAATTTAATAATCTGACGTGTGACACCGCTCCGTTATAGAAAAATAAATTATTTTATTATTCTGTGTTAATACATTAAATAGACTTTTTATTTTTCAGAGACGGAGGAAGTGATAGTAACATACTCACTTCAACCTATAAAATGCAATCCTCTTATTCCTCATATTTGCACCAAACACTTTGAATCTCATTTCCCATTTCTCATTCCTACTTTATTCTTCTTCTTTTTTTTTTTTCCAAGACAAAAAGTTTAAGGTTTCCTTCTTAAGTAGTTGATGCCCATCATCACTTGATTCCAAAACTCATCGTACAAGTCACTAAAAGCATGGAAATCATCAAAGGCGATGAAGGTTCGAATATTGCAACTCATCACCCCTCAATAATTTTATCCATCAGATCCTAAACAGAATCTTATATGTTTAGATCTGAGTTCTTAAGATAACTATTATTGTTTCATGATTGATCCATTTTGCAAGACTAAAGTCTAATTACTGTTTTTCTCCCCTTCTGCAGGTGACAATTTTAAGTGTATCGAGTTCGGATTCAGTGAATCAAAACAAGATACCTTAAATTACACATCAAACTCTGTATCGTTTCAATTTTATCAAATGTCCCCTAAAGGACACAATTATGCATCCGTTTTAGGGGATGGAACATAGTTTCATCATTCTGAGAAGCCTAGGCTAAGCCCCCCAATCCACTTCAAAAGATCGGCAGGTCGTAAATCCTTGGCTTAGCCCCAAATCACTTCAAAAATCAGGCATAGTCGCCTAGCTTGGCTATTTTCATTATTGATCTCAAGTCTCCACATTACATTACTTAGTAATGTGTGATGGACAATGGATCAAACCTTTTATCATTTAGTACTTTCCTTGGAAATCAGAAAGATTTCAAAAGATGGTTAAACAAATAAAGATTTGTTCATCATGAACTGCCCTGGTGGTGATCTGGGCATTCATGATTGATTTCAATCCCCATTTGCATTTGGAATCAATGCTTAAAATAAACTTTTAAGTGATCTGTGTAAATTGAATATTTTTAATAGTCTTGATCATGAACTTGTTGCGAGATTAATAACAGTTCATAGTTATCCAACACTTGTGTGATACCTATAAATTTAACGCGATAGATAATAACAACAAAATTATTACTTATGATCTTATTTTATTGCTCACTTTTTAATAAAAAAACAAAAATTTACATTTTAATGTGATTATTTAATTTACTCGTGAGTATTCGCATTTTTTCTCGTTAAAGAAAGATAACTCATAATCATGAAATTTTTACTCGCGGGCTGTATAATAAATTTCCAAACATGATAATCATTAGGTTTGTTCCACGAAAAAAAACATAAGAATTGAACTCATATCTCTCAGTGAACTACTGAACGCCAAAATCATTGTGCCAATTATTTGGTTCCAAAAAAGAATTTAGAAATTGATTGAACTGATAATTGAAAAACCCCTTGATGAAAAGCAAGAAATTTCCACCTTATAATAATTAGCCGAACACGTGTGAACTGTGTCGTACAAACCCAATCAAAGACAGTCACTCTTCTACTAAAGTTTTGATTGAGAAAATATAAAGGAAAAAAAAAAAAGAAGAAAACAGGTGAAATAATCAGTTAAACATGGCAGCTTCCCCTCCGGACTGAAGCAAAGCAGACAGCATCCCAAACCTTCCTTCAATTTAAAGAAAATCTCTTTTATCTTTTCCCCAAAAAGAATAAAAAATTAATTATGTAAATGTGATTCAATAAGAATCCAACTCTTCAAGTCCTCAAAATTCAATTTTCCCCTGCTTTTTGTCTAGACTCCACAAGTCCCGGAGTTCCGGCGCTCTTCACTCAAAATGGCCAGCCAATTCACCACTTCGTACCCACGCGCCGCCTCACGAGCCACCATTCCGCCACTCCACAACCCCAGACTACAAAACCCACATTTTGTTTTCACTAAAGAATCACAGGGATTCATCAAATTAACAAGGAAATACCGGCCCAGAATGGTAAAGAGTTGGAAAATTCATGCCTCAAGTGGGGGAGACTCGTATTTGGAGATGTGGAAGAAGGCTATGGAGCGGGAGAGGAAGTCTCAGCAATTCGAGCAGATTGCCAAAAATGTTGCCAGTGATGATGAGGAGGAAGAAGGGGATGAAAAAGGGGCTGAAGTTCTGACCCAAGAAGATTGGGAGCAAAGAAGTAGGGATTTCCAGAAGATTCTGGAAGTTCCTGCTGAAGAAAGGGATAAAGTTCAGAGGATGCAAACGGTTGATCGGGCTGCAGCAGCGATCGCAGCCGCCAGAGCACTTCTAAAGGAGAATGTGAAGACTGAGGAAGAAAGTACAGATTTTGAGGACGGAGAAGGAGGTAATTCGATGTTATTTGATGCAAAAATGCAATCTTTATTTTCATCTTGTTGGTCCAAATGCATTGTTGCATGAGATAGTCCAAGTGCTTTCTGCTAATTTTGGTCCCTTAGTTTAGGAATCTGAAGCCTTGAATGAGATTTGCCTGCTACTTAATTCTTTTACTGGAAGTGGTCGAATACTAGGTTTGCCTTTTGATTTTTTATCCACTACAGGATCTCAGCATGAGTTGTTTTTCTAAGCTACCAAAGGTTTGTCATTCAAAATGGTGAAATTGTTCATGTTGTGCAATTGAACCGGTAGGATAAAGATAACTTGCCATCAAGCTATCATGTTTTGTATTGCTTTGAAACTGGCAGTTCCATTATTTCTTTAATTTCCTAAGAATCTCAGGAACAAGATTACTTGTGTACATCGTATATGGTTAGGAAGATTCTTTACCAATGCTTGTGGCACTTTTTGCTTCTCTGTTTGTTCCTGATGTCAAAACTGATATCCATTAATTTGAGTGTACTGTATAAGTATCCTTTACTTGGCATGGGATAATATTAGCTGTTACAATGTCCATTTTGCTCAATTCATTATGTTGTTCTGTATGCCCTGCTCATAGTTTCTCCACTTGGACAGCACAAAGAGACGGCAACTCTGTGCTTTCAATTCGAGACATCACTATTGGAACACCGGGGCCGGATTTTTGGTCATGGACACCTCCTTCAGATGATGATCACACATCAAATGGGGGAGTGGTGAAGTTGGATCCTAAGGCTTCTTCAAGTCCTGCTAGGTATATCCCTCTGATGGAGAAAGAACGATCTGCCGACTTTCTGTTACTTCCATTTGAGAGCAGAATGTTTCAGAATAAAGCTCCACTTCCTCCTCTGCAGTCGCTTGTGGAGGGTGAAGAACAGGTCGCCCCCAGTCTTACTCAAGAGACATCTCATCTGGAGGACGAGCAAGAAATTGAAGTTTCATTTTCAGCTCATGCTGTAGAAGCAGTGCAGGCTCTTCAAGAGGCCAGTGAAGTATCGTCTCAGGGTGTTTATCCAGATGGATCAAGGTGGTGGAAGGAGACGGGACTAGAGACACGAGCTGATGGAGTGGTATGCCGGTGGACTTTGACGAGGGGCGTGAGCTCTGACAAGGCTGTTGAATGGGAAGAGAAATATTGGGAGGCTGCTGATGACTTTGGTTATAAGGAACTTGGTTCAGAGAAGTCGGGACGTGACTCTACAGGAAATGTTTGGCGTGAATATTGGAGAGAATCAATGTCTCAGGTCTGGAATGACCTTTGCTTACATTTTCCGGGGTTCCCTCCCGGAATAAAACGAAATATATAACTTTGATTACATATTGCTAATATCATCGCCTGAGTTGGATGTCTGATCATCTCATCATCTTCCTTTTGTATGTATTTATGCAGAATGGTGGGATTGTCACCCTAGAAAAAACAGCAGATAAATGGGGGAAGAATGGGAAAGGCGATGAGTGGCAGGAACAATGGTGGGAACATTATGGTGCAGGTGGTTATGTAGATAAATGGGCCCACAAGTGGTGCAGCCTTGATACAAATACACCTCTTGATGATGGTCATGCACATGTTTGGCACGAAAGGTAATCTAGTTTCTTATGTCCATGTCGCTTTTTTTACTGAAAACTGTATCTGGTGTCTGTTATTGACCTCTATGAACATTCTTATGCTAGTTCCAGATTACCATATTTCTTGGACCAAAACAATCTTTTATTCTCGTGCGAACTGGTGTCTGTTTGACTAAAATTCACTTTTGCCGTTGCACCCTCATCTGCGATATAGTCTTAACAATTATATTATTTCTTAGAAGGCTTTCTCCAGTTCTTTCTCATGCGGTGTCCGTTCTACTCTTGTGAAGTTTTCGGAAAACTGACTTTTAGATAAAGAAACGCAGATATCAAATGCTCTCTATTTTAACCTGGTAGGATTATGCTTCGTGCAGGTGGGGTGAGAAGTATGATGGGCAAGGTGGCAGCACCAAGTACACTGACAAGTGGGCTGAGCGTTTTGTGGGCGATGGCTGGGATAAATGGGGTGATAAATGGGATGAGAACTTTGATCCCTATGGTAATGGCGTTAAACAAGGGGAGACATGGTGGCAAGGTAAGCACGGAGATCGTTGGAATCGCACTTGGGGTGAGCGTCACAACGGTTCTGGATGGGTGCACAAGTATGGTAAGAGCAGCAGCGGTGAACATTGGGACACTCATGTCCAGCAAGATACTTGGTATGAGAGGTTCCCACATTTTGGTTTCTACCATTGTTTTGAGAACTCAGTGCAGCTCCGGGAAGTGAAGAAACCATCCGAGTGGTCCGAAAGTAAAGAAATAGAAATAGAAGAATGATTCACGACTCATGATACATGGTGCATATAGGCTCTATAGTTTATACAATAATTATATCCTGATGTTGAAATAAGTTACATTTTGGACAGAAAAGAGGAGTTAATTACATTCCCCCATGTTTATTTATTCATTTGGTGTTGTTTCTATGCTATCCAGTTGACCATTTTCTTTTGGTCAAATGCATGTTACTATGTTTTTTTCATTTCTGTAAAGGAAGTTAAATTATTTCTATATTTTGTTTACCTGTGCTTTCAAAGGTTGAAGATCATTATATGAAGCCATGATTTACAATTTATTTCTTTGGTCTTATTGAACTAACACCATCAAAGTACACATCAGAACGCACTTTTAGGAATCTCCAATTTTATCTCATGTTTTATTTTGTCTATAGTTTTTTTAATCTCCTATCTTACACAGTTATTAATAACAATTTCTTATATGTCAAAAATAAAATAGGTTTTAGAACATTTTTGAAAGACAAAAATGGAGATGTCAATGTGGAACGACGTCGTGAGATGATTTGTGGTGCTTATCCTATTGTTGGGGGCACAATCCAAATTTGTGGTGGGCTGCTGCTTTTACAAATTAGCTGACTCCTGGCTCTCCAATGGGCTTCATCTCAGTGAACTGATTTTTTTGTTTTCTTCCACATTCCTCCATTAAAGTTCTCTTCCCATTCCATATGCAGCTATGAAATTTCCGCCCTCATGATTTGCTACATTGGTAACCATTTTGAAGAGCTTTGATAGTCTGAGGTCCTTCAAGTACAGATATTTCTTTCTGGGTTTGCCTTAATTTTCTCACATGATGTCTTCTTCACTTCTCAATGGAGCTGACAGTCTCAAACTCACAACAGGGTCACAGATTTTTGGTTCAGAACTTCAATTCAGCTGTTTCCCTAAAAAGGGTTTTGTAAATTATCCAAAGGGTTCAAAGATTCTAACTTTGACACCTAAATGTAGTTTATCTTCTTCCAGGCCAGTGTCTCAACCGAGGTTTATTCAGCACAAGCAAGAAGCTTTTTGGTTTTATAGATTCTTGTCAATAGTGTATGATCATGTGATTAATCCAGGGCATTGGACTGAGGATATGAGAGATGAAGCACTTAAGCCTGCTGAGTTGTACAGTAGGAATCTGAAAGTGGTTGATGTTGGGGGTGGTACTGGGTTCACTACTCTTGGGATAGTTAAGCATGTTGATGCTAAGAATGTGACCATTCTTGATCAATCACCTCACCAACTCGCTAAGGCCAAGCAGAAGGAGCCTTTGAAAGAGTGTACTTTTATTGAAGGTGATGCTGAAGATCTCCCTTTTCCAACTGATTATGCTGATAGATACATCTCTGCTGGAAGGTAATTCCTCTTGTATTGGATGCAAAACTCATCATTTATTTTTCTGCAACCTTTTTACTTGGAAATTTAGGGGAACAAGTTCCATTTTGCTCTTCTTGTTTTGCACTCAAGAGTTATTTTTTTCCCCCATTATATTTTTCCAGCGGTTGCATTAGTCTAAATGACTCGTCTTTGTGGAACAATGTAGTCGAGAAATTTGAAATTGATGCTGATATACTACATGCACACCAGATAATGAGGCTCCTTATGCTGATTTTTTAAGGGCTTTCGCTTCTTAGCATGCTTACTAATTTTCTTTCTGTGTTTCTGCATGTTGCCTGAGTTTGGCCCCTCATACAACAGTTTGAACTGTACTGTGAATTTCTAGATATTCCCTTCATTTTTGTTTTTTTTTTTCCCTTGCAATCAATCAATGTTTGTGCACCTACTCTCATAGTTACTCATCATTTCGCTGCAGATTCAATCAACATTGTTTCTTAGAATGTTTTTGAATTGATGCCTTGTTTCTCGTGTTTCGCTTGGTTTTGTTCCTAGTATTGAGTATTGGCCAGATCCTCAGCGTGGTATTAAGGAGGCATACAGAGTTCTAAGAATTGGAGGAAAGGCCTGCCTAATTGGACCTGTTTACCCTACGTTTTGGCTTTCTCGCTTCTTTGCGGATGTGTGGATGCTATTTCCTAAGGAAGAAGAGTATATTGAGTGGTTTAAGAAGGCTGGTTTTAAGGATGTTGAACTGAAGAGAATTGGTCCAAAATGGTATCGTGGTGTCCGTCGACATGGTTTGATCATGGGCTGTTCCGTGACAGGTGTGAAGCGAAAGTCAGGAGACTCTCCCCTTCAGGTAAGCATGTTCTCGCTCCAGTGACGTGATACTTTTGCTGTGTTCTGTGAAAATATGTGTTTCCACATCGAACTTAATTGAATAGTGAGAGTACATTGTCTTGAGAAGAATGATATGATGGGCTCCTTTCCAATTTGAACTAAAACAGGTAAAAGAATTAGAAGAGTTTCGAAGAATCTTTTAATCCTCTAATATGTTTTCTTGATGTTCTGTTCTTAAAAAGCTGAAATAAAGGACATATAAACTGACATTTAATCTTTTATTCCTGAAACTTCCATTCCACTTTCGTTAGTAATAGGTTCTCTTGGTGAAATTGATTGAAGAATTTTTCTTTTTCGGCCAAATTTAACATGAGCATGGCAGTCCTGGATACTAATTTCAAATCTGAAACAGTGATGGGTTGATCTTTCTGAATTTTTGTTGGTGCTTGGGGACATTTTAACAATCCTTGTGCTCACTTTCTGCAATGTTTTACCCTAATGAAAGCATAGAAAAAAGCTACACTCATTTCATTGTCAGTTCTTACCTTAGAAGCTTTTTGAGTTTCAAGGCAAATTTATAACTCAACTCCAGTACTGAGCTGAATTAAGGATTCAAAATCTTCAAAAGTTCTATTTTTTCCTTGGCCGCTCGAATCCCTGGTCTAAAATTCAAAATTTGCCTGAACCATAATTTTCTGACTACTTGTGATGATTTTTGTTGGTGAGAAATGTCAAAGCAAAAGTTTTGCATTGAAAAACATTTTAGGATCTGGAAACATCTGTTGAAGAATTTACAATAGTTCTTTTGCTGTTTCTATTTTCTACCAACTCTACTAAATTCAAGAGTGTCGCCCTTTGCAGCTTGGTCCAAAACAAGAGGACGTAAAGAAGCCCGTGAACCCATTTGTATTCTTAATGCGTTTCATCCTGGGAGCAATGGCAGCAACCTATTATGTACTTGTACCAATATACATGTGGATTAAGGATCAAATTGTTCCCAAAGGTATGCCCATCTGAGCAATATGGTAGGATTAGTGGAAGAGAAACTGCAAAATGCTGACATATTCCCATTGCCAGTTCTCGGATGTTTTCTTTATGGATGTGCATGTAAAATACTTTCTTTCCTTTGGTTTAGCAGTAGTGTAGCAAGGTTTTCCTGTGTTATCTTCCCTCCTAACTTTTGTTTTTACAATCTTCGTGTTATATTCATCACATTCTGCTTAAATTCTCCGTACGTTAATCTAGTCCTATCAAGTCGAAAATTTTGGCAATTTGAGTAAAAACTTTTGGAACATCTGGTTAGAGGACAAATGCTGCTGTGTAAGTATGTATCAGTTAAGTTATTCAACAACAAATAATCTTCACAACCTTTGATGATGAGAATCAACTGAAATACAGCATTGGTCAGAAAATTTATTGGGTATGGGCTGTAAGAGGGATTGAGCCATACCATCATCAAGCAGGAACGGTGATTTAGTTGAGACACAAATTGAAAGAGTTCAAACTTCAGCTGTGCCAGAAAAAACCCAGAAATGAAATTGTATTTTCCCAATGGACTGTGGTTTTTGTTCTTGTTTTACTTTTACCTGTTAAAAAAGGACCTACTCAGGTCGAATCCAGATTAGTTCGGTGAGTGAATTCCAACGTTGGGAATAATATTCATCGAACTTTTCAGGGTTTGTTTTTTTTTTTATATATATATATAAACCCAAACTTCCATTGATGCCTTCTGAAATTTGAAGAAGATCATAGGGAACATTTCGAGAGTTAATCATTATATCATGTTGACATGTTGTACTTGTAAATAGGCCAGAAAGGTGGCCTTACATTACAATTCAAAAACCTTTACATATCATGACTGTCATTGAAAATAAGTGTAATTTATGATCCAAACAAAACCAAATTTCCTAGTAAAGTTAAAATGCTGCTGTGTTCGAACCTCGGCAGGTGAGCCGATGGCAAGTAAAACCGCGTTTTGCCAGCCATGCAAAACATTTATGGTCATATACTGCCACTAAAACCTCTAAATACTCTCTCCGTTTTAAAATAAATGTCATTGTTTGGACACATTTTAAGAAAACATTAAATATGGTAGCTAAATTACTAGAATATCTTCAACTAATCCTATTAGAATAAATGCTCGCCAATAATATTATTTCTTTTGAGAGTATGTTTGGAAAAATTTGACAAAAAATACAACTTATTTTAAAATTTATCCATTTGACTAAAACGACACTTATTTTGAAATGAAAGATTACAAATCCCTCTGATTCTTCTTCTTCTTCAGCCTTCTTATTAAAGTCTTTCAAGTTAGTACTTAAGAAAGAAAGCACAACGCTCAAAGTCTTAAACTATTCCTTAAATTTAGTCGAATAATGCACCAAATACTATGTTAGCTCACGCTAAAACAACGTGTCTACCATTCCAAACTGTGTACGTATATACATACATTTTTCTCCTGTATTAAAAAGAAAGTATGAACATCACATATATAATTTTGAACGGAATTTCTCGAAAGATAAAAAGTATATTTCCAAATATCTTTAGCTGCCGCCCCCGTTGCTGTTTTTTCCTTAAATATGGAGCCGAAAAAATACTCTTCTTGGTTCTATTATTGAGCTCCACTTCTATCTGAAAATTATTGTACAGATTATTAGATTTTTCACTTTTAGTTTAATTTGTGCAAAAAATGAAAATCCAAATTGGACAATAATTTTTGGACGGAGGGAGTATATAAGATAAAAGAAAATTAGCTTATTAACGGTTTTCATTAGAGAAAATAAAATGATTGATCTCTAATTTTTTGTGGGTTCATGCTGCGTTGTA